CCCTGTTTGTGTTCTTTGATGGGGGCTGTGCTGGAGTTGGAGTTCTGCCTCTGAATCTTGATGCTTCAAATTTTTTGCAGGCCGGGAAACTGGTAACCACACTGGTTAAAAAAAAAAAAAAAAAAAAAAAAAAAAGGAGGCCAGGCGTGGTGGCACATGCCTTTAATCCCAGCATTCAAAGGCAGAGGCAGGCCGATCTCTGTGACCTCGGGGTCAGCCTGGTCTATGAAGAGACTCCTGGACAGCCAAGTCTACCCAGAGAAACCCTGTCTCAAACAACAACAAACAAACAAACAAAAAGAGGTGCTAGGCTTGGTGGCACACACTTTTAATCCCTGCACTCTAGAGGCAAAGGCACGTGGCTCTCTATGAGTTCAAGGACAGCCTGGTCTTCAAAGTGAGGCCATGACAGCCAGGGCTCTGTTATACAGAGAAGCCCTGTCTCAAACAAAAACAAACAAACAAATGAGGAAAACACTGGGCATGGTGGTACATACCTTTAATCCTAAGACTTGGGAGGCAGACAGATCCCAGAGTTCAAGGCTAGCCTGGTCTACGGGGAGAGTTCTAGGACGGCCAGGACTACACAGCCCCCCCCCCCCAAAAAAAAAAAAAGAAAGAAAAAAAGGGGAAATTCTAGTTGATAGGCTTTTTGGTAAGAGTCCAAGTCCAAGTCCAAGTCCAAGTCCAAGTCCAAGTCCAAGTGCAGTGAGGTATGGTGGGTTGCAGTGGCCCCTCTGGCTGCCTAACGCTGTTTTGTTGGCACCCTCTGCCTACCTCAGGTTTCTGGCCACCAGCCTGCTAGCAGTTCTTGCCTCTTTTTTTTTTTTCTTGTACAGTTTTAAGAACCAACCAGAGAAATCCAAATTCCAAGCATTGTGTCCTAAAAATGGGAACTGTGGTCTCCATGGTGAAGAAGGTAACACTCGAACAGAATGGAGAGGGAAAGGATTGGGTCTTGGAAGGACTCCGAGATACCTCTGGCTGAAGACCTCTGGACAGAGCCAGCAAAGTCCCAGGGTGGCATGTGAACCTGTTATTACTGTAACCATGCCATGCCAGGAGCCAGTGGCATGGGAGGCAGGGTGGAGTTGAGCAGAACTTGACCTGGGGGCAATGGAATAGAACTGTGACACCTAGGCTGAGTGGCTTCACCTCCCAGCCCTATCCTTCTCTATAAGATGTAAGGCAGTGAGTGAGCTTGGAAGGTTGTGGAGATCAACCTCTGTCACAGAGGTGAGGTGCTAGCCAATGCCAGGAATGACTCCAGGTAAAGATAGGTGTAGGTGTGCAGTTCATGTGTTGGTGGCATTCGTGGAGGTTGGGATCTGTGTGTTCAGGAAATGAGATCCATGTATCTCTGGAAGGAAAGTTAGAGGGTCCTAATGGAACAGCTATTTTGTGCCTACCACCCATCAACTGCCTGAGGATTCTTCACCCTTCTCTCTCCATCTGTTTTCTCCCCGGTAAGTCAGAGGGTTGGCCTGACGTCCTGATGAGGACCCTCCTGGAGCTTCATCTGGTTAGATAACCTTTTTCCTTATAAGAGGCATGGCCATAAATTGCAGCGCAAACTACATCTATCTGTCCTAGGAGCCCCCATGAAAGCAGGAGTTGTGGGCTTGTGTCTTGAGTGTATAGCAGATGCACAGAGATGGTTTCTATGGCTACTAGTTCATCCTGAGGCATTCCTGCTCCTCTAATCAGATACCCAATAGGGCACATGTGGGTCATCCCTGGCAAGGTCTCTCCCTCCCCCAAGGCTTGTTGGCTAGCATTCTTTGTCTATATTATATTGTTGGGGTGTGTCAGGATGGTTCTAAGAGACCTCCAAGAATGCTGGAAACTGGCAAAGTGGGACAGCTTAGCTTCGTCTAGGACCATCGCATTATCTATTCTGACCTGTTCAATCCTCGAAACAGTGTGGGAAAGGGAAGGGGCTGTGTGTTTCAGAGATGCAGGTGGGGGAGGGGATGGGAACAGAATCTGTGGAGTTGGCCAGCCAGAGTCTCTGAGGAGCTGGCCTGACCATAAGTGAGAGGTTTACAGCTGTCAGAGAAAACTTGCTCAGGTGCAGTGCTTCTGGAAACCTTCAGCAGAGCCTGAAGGAGGAGAGGTGGGATGGCTTCTCCAGGGTAGTTCTTTTGCAGTTGCATGAAGGGCTGTCAGCTTGACAGGGTTTTCTTCTCTGTATCTGGGAGCTAGACATGTCAAGTTCTCAGCGGGGTAGGGGCTGAAAGTTACCACACACTGTAATGCTATTCACTCTGTGTTTTGTTTCAGACTCGAGTTACAATGAGGCTTTATCTAGACCACTTCTGGGCACTGATGACAAAAGGTAAGACATAGGTCAAATCCAAGGGATGGAGAGTGATGATGTGTAAGAAGGAGACACTGGTTCTGGTACCAGGCTGGTGAGTGTGAGGCAAAGTCAGACAGAGGGTGTAAACTGCAAACCTGTGTACCACAAAGAGTTTTTGATTCTGGAAACAGTACAATGGTTCCTTGTCATTGCAAGGTTTTAAAACTCCAACACTCAGCATTAGGGCTGGAAGGTGAGGAGTCATGAGGACTCCTGTGCAAATAGACATTCTGATCCAGTGTGTTAAGGTGTGAGATGGGAGTGAGGCAAGTCTCTGCTTTCCAGTAAGTGTTTAAATCCAGCTGTGAGGGTACAACAGGTGTGATGGAAACCTGGCATTGTTTTCATTCAAAACTGCCAGCAACTTAAGCACCTTTAAATTTCTATTATGCAGCAAATGCCCTGAAAGTCTCTCAGCACTCTGCATGGCACTAAAAGATTGCCTATTTAAGCTTCCACCCTCCTGCCATCGTAAGTGGGAGCTAAGAGTAATTAGAGTCATGACCCAGGGAGGAGACTGAAGCTAGGGCTTATCAAGTAGCCTGTGGGCACTGTTGAGCTCCTAGAATGGCTACAATCTGGAGTGCCACAGTTACCCTGTTTGGATGGTCCTCACTCTCAGTGGAGGCCAGTGCTGTTAGGCTTGTGGGGCTGAAAACTTTTTGGGTAGGTGCTTTCCTGCTCATCTAATGGCCACAGGGCTGGACTTAGCTAGCTCAAGGCTCTGGTGGGATGGCTGAGAGCATCAATCTCATGGCCTCAGGTGGCTGTGTGAGACACAAACATTGCTTCCTTGTGAAACAGCATATGTCACAGGGAAGTTTAAAAGTTACAACACATGTAAGAGACCCAAGATACTCAGATATGACCAGGCACTCATTTTCCTCCCTGCTCATGCTGAACTCAGGCCACTGAGCTAGCTCCTACTTCTCTCTGTGTTCTGGTAGGGATGGTGAGCATTTCATAGCCGTTGAGCATAGTCAGCCTTGGTGTTGTAAGCCCTTCTTCCACACTGTAGTCAGGCTTGTGAAAACACTTAAAAACATTTGAGAGAACTGTACAGAGGCTGAACCATCACCTACTGTTTAGAAATGAGTGTGTAATTAAGGCAGGAGTGGTGGTACATTTTTGTAATCCCAGCACTGGGGAGGTAGAGGCAGGAGGACCAGGAGATCATCTAAAGGTTGCAACTTTGAGGCGAGCATGAACTGAGAACTGTAACTAAGACAACTGAATTTTCTTCTGCATGCCCAAGATGTCTACCCAGGGAGATCCCTCTTCCTGTAGGACTGTGATGGTTCCAGCCTTCCCAAAGACTTGAGATGCAGTCAGGCTTTAAAAGACTTTTTTCCCCCTCTAACTTCTCAGGGTCTGGCAACTCCCAGAATAACAAATCATTCAGAATACCCTTGGTATGAGCCCAATCTCTGTAGTTTTTGCTACTTAAAAAAATATCCATAAACACAGGTGTGGTTTAATCCTAGCATTCCAGAGGCAGAATCAGGTGGATCTCTCCATCCCAGGCCACAGTGGGACACAGTCTAGTGCAGCCCGTCTAATTCCTAAGCGAGTCCATCACACAGCTTCTCTCTCTACTCTCTCTTGGGTTTTGAGACAGGGTTTCCCTGTGTAGCCTTGGCTCTCCTAGAACTTTGTAGACAAGGCTGACCCTGATCTCGAGATCTACCTTTTTTTTTTTTTTTTTCTTTTTTGGTTTCAGCATACAACTTTCAAAAAACACCGATGGACCTTGTACATCACTGCCCGATGCTCGGCCTGCTGGGCTTTGGGTGCTAAAATATTAAAGTGAAGACAAAAGTTTAGTGGTAGGCACTAAGCTAATGAGTCAGTAATCAGAAAAGCCCGTTTCACAGATGAAGAGGCTGAGGCTATGCCGGGAGGGTGTTCCGAGGTCAAAGATCCGTACTCAGCACTCAGGTGTCCCTGTACACACTCTGTGGGCCTGTCAAGGATCCCCCAGCTGCTGGACAAGAGAGCCCCATCGATGCGCTCCGCCGCTCGGCTCCTCACGCCTGGCCCAGCCCTGTGCGCTTCTTTCCCCTCCCTCCACTTCCCACTTCCAAGATGGCCGCGGGCGGAGCCGACCAGGTAAGGGGCCCCTGCCGGGCGTCTGCGGTGCCGGTGTGGACCCTGTGACTCTCTCAGGGCTTTTCTCGCAGCTCCGCTTAGGACTAGGAACAGAAAAAGGCCCAGGGCATAATTCCCGAGACCCAGGGCGGACGCTTAGGCAGGCCAGAGGAGCGGCGCCGGTGAGGTGCGGGCTCCGAGCTTAACGGAGGCGCGCCGGGGGCGGGAGCCCGGACGGAAGAGCGGTGGAGGACGGGCGGGGGCGTGGCTAGGGAGCGGGGCGTGGCCGTGCGCCGGTCCCAGGGTGTGTGGCTAGTCCGGTAGACAGCGGGTGCGGAAGAGCGGGGGGCGTGGCTAAGGAGTTCTCGGGGGCGGGGGGCGTGTCTGTGGAGCGCTGGGCGTGGAGAAACGCCTGAGGCCCGGAGAGCGGTGTCTGGAGTTGGGTGCTGGGCGGAAGAGCGGCGGACTTTTGGGGGCGTGGCCGTGGAGTGCGGGGCGTGGTGAGGGTGGGTCCTGGCGCTGGCTGCTTTTATCCCTCAGCGGCTAGCAAGCACCTGCTGCGACCGGGCGTCCGTGGTGTCAAGCTTCCTCATCCAGCAAGTTGCGGGCCCCACGGGGCCTGGGCTGCGGGCCACGGACGGGCCCAGAGATGGCGTTGGAGCTACGGTAGTTCGGGTACTGAAGGGCTCTGCGGGGTCAGGCTGAGAGGTTGAGGAGGGCTGGCGCTAGCCCCTGTAACCTGCTGCTGCGTTGGCCAAGCGGGGCGGCCTGGAGCGGCCAGGCTCCTGAAGGGCGGGTGGGAGGGCTAGTGTTCCGAGGCTGACAGCGACTGCCCTGGGTCAGAGCTTGTCGTGACTTGAACTTGGTGAAAAGTTTTCTCCTCAGATGCGGTGCTGTGAGCCGTAGTGGAGTAGTCGGCCCTGCTCGTCCCAAGCCAGCGTCCTCCTCAGACCCCTGTCCTGTTCAGATCTCTGCCCTGTTCAGATCTCTGTCCTCTCCAATCCCCTCTCCTGTTCAGATCCTAATGCTCCTCAGGTCTCCTCAGACTCCTGGCCTGTTCCATTCTCACACCCCTGGTGTGCTCGGATCTCCATCCTCCTAAGACCCCCATTTCCAGAACTTAGTAAAGTTTTCTCAGATCTGAGGCTGCGACTGGTTTGGCTGACTTGCGCGGGAGTGTGGGCTGCAAACCGAGTCTGCTCAGAGCGGCAAGAGCCTGAATCCTCGTCAGATCCCTGACCTGTTCAAACTCTGTCCTCCTCAGTCCTTCCTTCTTAGCCCATTGTGTTGTGTTCATATCTTCCTCCTCATGACCAGTTCTTCTCAGACTGCCAAACCTCTTCCTTAAATCTCCCGGCCCACTGGGTCTCCTCCTGTCTTGGGTTCCTTACTCTGGTTTCTGGGCTGCAGAAGGTCTCCCAAATTAGGGACCCTAGACCATACTGTTCTTCAGATTCCTATCCCTGGGCCATGTCCTCCTCAGATCTTCACCTCTTTGGCTGTAGAACCCATTTAATTTCTAGAGACCCTCAGTATTGGGCATCTGCTAGGCTAGAGGAACAACCTGAACTCTTCCCCTTAACCCCTACTCAGGATTTTGTCAGCCATGCAGGGCGTGACTAGCTTTCTGTAGTGGGTGATGGAGCCCTTAGTGAGGCTGGGGATGTCAGAGATAGCTCCTGATCAGGCTTAGTGAAACCTGAAACTGCCTCGGCCTTAAAGTGGTATAGGTGGAACTTTATCTCCCAGGTGGCACTGGAAGATTCTGTGTGCACTGTTGCACGTTGTCACTTCTGGAGGCTATGAGTATTTCATGTCTGCTGGCTAAGGAAGGAGTCCTGGTGTTTGGGGACAGCAGTCTCCCTCTCACCAGCACCCTCACACTACAAGAGGTTATCACCTTGGCAGCTTTTTTGAGGATGGGTTGCCTGTGCTGCTGGCAGCTCTGCTAAAGGGACTGGGCCAGCCTTTGTATCAGTCTGGCACCCTTCTGTATCAGTGCCAAACTAAATCTCAAATTTGGTACCCTCTTCCAGCTCTTTCACTGCTTGCTTTGTTGTATGGGTTTGACCTATTGAGATCTGAGCTCCATGATCCTCATGAGACCCAGCTGTAATGAGAACCTGGCATGTACCTGCTGCTTAGGGTTATTGTGTGCACTCTTCCGGAACATTAAGAGAAGGAGGTGTGACTATGGGAGATGAGTTGAGAGAGAGAGAAAGAGAGAGAGAGAGAGGTGGGATGCAGATTGAGGCTGGTGTCTCACAAGACAAGGCTCTGCTCACTCTGTTGTCCTCTGTGGTCCCAGCAGACCCTAGTGCGTGTTTGTTTAGCACCTTACGTGCATGAGTTGAGCTTGCTTTCTTTCTGAGCAGCAGAGTTTTTGTACTCTGCCTTCAGCCCATCTCCTCACATTCCAAATCTCACTTGGCTCCTAGGGATCTGTGACTCTATAGTATCTTCAGCTAGCCTTGATTGTTAATGCAAGAGAGTGAGTTCCTTATCTCCAGTGTCTCCTTCCCCTCTACTAGGACTAGTTCCCTCCTAACCTCTCTAACAGTGAGGACATGGCTTCAGGGAGCCTTGTCTTAAGAGTCTGACTCCCCATGGCTCAATGATCCTTAACTTCTTGTTCCCAGCCTCAATGCTGAGCATCTGCCACATGATGTGGGATCTTGAGACCTTGGAGAAGATTTGTGTGTGGATATATACACATACACACATATATATGTGTGTATATGTATATATATGAGTTTGAGAAATTGTGTATGTATTGTCTTCTGATATTTGCTTTACGACTAGATATAAAGTGTCTTTGGCCAGGAGTATTGAAACTTTTTGACTGTTGAGTTGGAAAGCTCGCAGGACTAGGTCAGTTTGGGTAATTTCATTTTTTTCCTTGGGAAAATTAAGGCCCAGAGTTCAGTCAGTGCTGCATAGCATGTGTGCGGAGAGATGCTATCAGCAAGACCTGTGTACACAGAGTGGCTGTGTCTGGGCTTTGTAATGCAAAGGTGTTGTTAAAATTGTGGACCTGAATTGGCTGTTCATCTTGTGCCAAGAATGATAACACTAGCCGAGATCTTCTAAGGCTTAGCTCAGGCCAGGCATAGTTCTAAAGGCATCATATGACTTTCTTCCCCTAATCTTGTTAATTGCCTGATAAGGTAGAGTCTACTGTTGACTGCATTTTGCAGTGAAACAGAGGCACAAGAAGGTAAACTAATCCAAGGTTACACAATTGGCAAGTGGAGGCGTTGGATTTGAATCCAGGTAGGCTATTCTGTTGTCTGTAGCTCCTCTCACCCTACTTACTTTTAAAACCATCTTGCAAAATCACATTTATTTATTTATTTATGGTGTGTGTGTGTGTGTGTGTGTGTGTGTGAAAGAGAGAGAGAGAGAGAGAGAGAGAGAGAGAGGCTAACTTTCAGTCACTTTTCTCCTTTTACTTGTTGGTCCTGTGGATTGAACTCAGGTCATTAGGCTTGGCATCAAGCACTTTTACCAAGTGATCATCGTTTTAGCCCTAAAACCTTTTACACATTTTTATTATTGCTGTGCTTATGTGATGCATGTGTTTGAGCATATCCATGCTGCACGTGTAGAGGGTGGAGGACAACTTTTGGAGTCAGTTCTCTCTATTTACCTTTATGAGGGTTCTAGGGATGGAATTTAGGTTGCCAGGCATGTACAGCAAATGCCTTTACCCGTTGAACCATCTTGTTGGCCTTATTTTAAAGAAGTTTTGAGGGCTAAAGCTATGGCTCAGCATTTATGAGCACTTGCTGTTCCTCCAGAGAGCCTAGGATCAATTCCCAACATCTACATGGCAGTTCACCTGTGTAACCCCAGTTCTAGGGGACCTGGTGCCCTCTTCTGACCTCAGCAGGCACCAGTTACAGACATACATGGAGTCAAAAATACTCATACAGATAAAGTAATTTTAAAAATCCATCTCTATTAAACTCTAATAAATAAAACGGTAAATATTGTTAAGTGTTCAGTTTACTAGTTATCACAAAGTTTAGGGCTTGCATTTTTAAGTATTCTAACAGGCTATGTGGGGGGTTCTGATGTCATACCTTCCTTTGTGCAGCTTTGAGCAAATTGCTTTGCTTCTCTACATTTCAGTGTCTACAATATACTTAGCATACTTGTGTCTAGGTCATATGTCCCCTCTCATGTACAGCACATGGTGAGTTCTCAGAGTGGTCTCTTTTGTTAAGAATTAAACATGTGTTGGGCAGTGGTGGCTCAAGCCTTTAATCCCAGCACTCGGGAGGCAGAGGCAGGCAGATCTCTGAGTTTGAGGCCAGCCTGGTTTACAGAGTGAGTTCTAGGACAGCCAGGGCTACATAGTGAAAAAGACCCTTTCTCCAAAATAAACAAAGAATTAAAGAATTTAAATTATGTTGTCTTTGTGAAGTGGTCTTCATATCTTCCTTATTCATCATCACTTCACAAGTTCTGTTTAGTCTTTAAATGTAGCTGAAACATTTGGAGTTGAGGAGAAGGAACTCCTCATTGATTTAAAGTGTCATTTGGACCTTTTATTGTAAAAGATGTATTTATTTATCATTTATACAGTATTCTCCCTGCATGTGAGCCAGGAGGTCAGAAGAGGGAACCATATCTCATTATAGACGGTTGTGAGCTACCATGTGGTTGCTGGGAATTAAACTCGGGACCATTTAAGTAGAACAGTCAGTGCTCTTAACCTCTGAGCCATCTCTCCAGCCCTCATTTGGGCCTTTTAATCATAGCACCTATGGGTGGTGTAAGTTAAGTGATTGTTCTTTAGAGTTTTGAAAAGGGAGCCTTTGAGACCCTCAACAGTTTAATGCCACAAGCTTTGAAGCCAGGTGTGCTGGAATATGCACGGATGAAATGGTTTCCCCAGAATGTGGGAACTTCAGATAAGTTGCTGTTTACTCTCTAGAGGAATATGTGAGTTTAGAAAATTGTTTTAGGACTGCCCCCTAAAAGCTTAGTTAAACAAACAAACAATAACAACAACAAAATGACTTTTATAACCAACTTCCCTTCTGCACATTGGCAGTACAAAGGGGAGGGGGTGCTCCCCCTCTTGAGTCAGATCCAGGTTAGCCCAGCATGGCTGCTTTCTTAGCCCTGGCTCTTAGTTTTGAGCTGAGGTTTGCTAGCGCTCCTCTAAGTAGATGGGTGTGAAGATTGAACACCTGGCAGCTCGGTGTTCCTGGTAGGTGGCTGCACCTGTAAACTGGTAATGCTGGCACCTGAGACCTAGGACTTTTCTGGTCCTTTTGTCCTTTCTGCCAGTCAGGACGTAAAGAGAGACTCTTTTCCTGGTTAGTTCCTGTGTCGTGCTTTGCAATACAAGGGAATTCACACAAGCATATTGTATCCGTGGGTCTCCTTGGGGTTAGACCTCATTCCTATCCTTTTCTGAGCTAAAGTTTGTCTTCAACACCCTGTGTTCTGGGCTGACATGCAGCCTGGTGGATCCACTGCTTCTGGGAAGAAGAGAAAGGCCTCATCAGAACCCTTGCTGTGGCCCTCCCCCACCACCGGCTTTCTCGGGAATGTTGGCTACAGAAGGCTTGTAGGGTCTGTTCAGCTTAGAACAGAGCCTGGTCTGCATTGCATGGTAGTTTTATGGTGCTACACAGGTGGAAGGTGCTTCAGGTGTGATC